GGTTCTTGGCTGGATAGTATCAGGAATGAACTGACTATGACTGTGCTACACCGTGTTTATGAACAGAGTGCAAACTAAGCCTGGCACGATCACTGGCTTGCAGTCATTTGGAATTTTGCACAGAATAGGAAGAAATGGTGATTAGTGACAAATTGCGTGAGCCATTGTGACCCTTTGCGACACCCATTAAGTCAAATACGTACAGTCCTAATCTGGAATCTTCATTAAATGCTTGGGCAGGGTCGCTGATTAGGCAAGCTGTAGGAGGCGCTGGTAGTATTTCTAAGTCATGAATATAGATAGGTGGTACTCCCGGTTAGTTGCTACCTCGATCCTGCCCATTAAAAGCACATGAAGTGTAGTTGCCTTCATTCTCAGAGGTTTCCTTCATCTGATTGTTTAAGTCAAGTGGTATGCTCCTCATTGTGAAGGAAACTACTATTGCGTTTGTGCAGATCTTTTATATCACATTATTTTGGTAGTCTTGGGTTATCCGTCTTGATTAAGCCATGTTTACTCTTTGCTTGTCTATTTTTCACTGACTGTCTCAGTCGCCACTGAACGACGTCCGTTTGAAAAATTTGAATTCGAGCACAGCAGAATCTTTCTTTATCATTAGCTTCACGCTGCTTTTGGGGAAACAGTTGGAAAACAAATGGTAAGTTGAGCTGATTGCCTTCGAATGATTATACCATTCGATAGTAGAGTTTGCTTTTAACAGGGTCTTACAACATTTTCGACCTTGCCCGAAACAGTCTGATTTTCTTGATAGCAGTCTCTGCCAAAGTAACGCTATTTATTTTGTTTCAGTTGGAACCACGTCTTAACGGTCCGTTCACACCCGATCTAAGTCATCCGATGGCCGTTCTTGGTCAGCATGCTAGAGAAAATGGATGGCCCCTTGAAATCAAAGTTGGTCAGTTGCCGTTTACAGTTGTCACTGTTAATCGTATAATTATTTTTCGTCAGGCTTGATCGGAAGTTGTACCAACTCCAGTTATCAGGACATGACACGAGCGTGTAGTGTCGCTAAGCAGGCGCTGGAACATGGAGTGACTGTTAAGTCGAAATTTTTGGTCACACCAGGGTCAGAGCAAATCCGGGCTACAATAGAGCGAGATGGTATTTCTGAAATATTTCGCAAATTTGGTGCCACTGTGCTTGCTAACGCTTGCGGGCCATGCATTGGACAATGGAATAGAAAAGATGTAGCGAAAGGAGAAAAGAACACCATTGTTTCTTCTTACAACCGGAACTTCACGTCGAGAAACGATGGCAATCCAAATACGCACGCTTTCGTTGGCTCTCCGGAAATCGTGACTGCACTTTCGATCGCAGGAACGCTAAATTTTGACCCTACGCGTGATTACATCATTGGAGCCAATGGTAATTATGAAAGGTTTCCAAACAGCATTAATGATAGACAGTTGCTAAGTTGAAAATAACCTTCTTGAACAGCAAGAGTATACCGGCTTTGGTGTTAAGGCTTCAAATCCAGTAGCGATGATAAAGCTTCATGGTTTTCATGCTATATTACTTTTCAGAAAAGACTACCGAGTAACTAATTGGCATAACGAGCCGTATACCAGGTTTGTGGAAACAATGCTCCAAAGTATATCTGGCTTGAGTAGCTAGCCTTTTAATAATTCTCATTCTCGCAAATGTTCGTTTGATGAGGGCGTAAAAGTTTCTTTTAATAAACTGTTGTTATTTGAAAGTTGTATAGGTAAATTTTTCCAGTGACTTTACTTACGTCGTGAATGTTTGAAGTTGCCCCCTTATTCAACACTGAACGTATTGAGATCTGTGCTAGTTTTGCACTTTAATCACAACATAAAAATATGCTGTAGAAAGGATACGATTGCTTAAAATTCTTCATTGTTCATGGATTCCATATCATTAACTTTTGTATCAGTGATTGAAAATTGCTTTAATATATTGTCAGGATTGTATTGCCTTCGTTTTGACGGCGAAAGTCGTAGATAATTTCAATTGCTGTAGCATAAATTCTACAAGCAGAAATGTGACTTTGTGCGGCATTCGTACAGACTTTATTCCACTTCTTTGCGTTTAGCAGCACTTTTTAGACATAGGAAGGGAAGAAAGATGGAGCGTACGAAACAGAGTAGAGGACTTCCAGTCAATCCATTGCTCGTACATCAAAGGGGTGAAGTAGTCTAATTTAGAGCACAGTTGAATTGTCTGAGTTTCTTTCTGACAGGATTATGTCGTAGCACGTGTTTGTCTGTATTACTAGATTTTAACGTAACTTTTCGCTACTTCGTACGCCATTGCCATCATTCTGGTTTAGGGGAAAAATTTAAACTGAAGCCGCCAACTGGAGACGAACTACCTGCTAAAGGCTTTGATCGTGGTGAGGAGACGTACCAGCAACCTCCAGAGGATGGTTCTTTTCTCAGCATCGACGTGAACCGGAAGAGTCAGCGTTTGCAGCTGCTTCAACCGTTTAAACCATGGGACAGAAAGGACCTAACTGACATGGTCATATTACTGAAGGTAATACTATGGGCTGTAATGCTCTCACATTGCTTCGTATACTTTTTAGGTTTACGGCAAATGTACAACCGATCACATCAGTGCAGCTGGACCATGGCTGAAATACCGGGGACACCTCGATAACATTTCCAACAATATGTTTATTGGGTAGAGGTTTTTTGGTGCTTTCTGCTGTTTACTGATACTAAATTTTTGGAGAGCAGTAAATGTCGAGAACAAGGCTATGAACAAGGTGAAGAATGTTTTGACTGGAGAATGGGGTACAGTGCCTGACACTGCCCGGTTTTACAAGGTCAGTGCTTTCCGGTAATAATTCAAACTGTATTCAGTTTAAAAGGCCGCATGATTTTGTTGCTTTTAGAAAAGATTTTTTCAGATTCTAATTTGTAACTTTCTAGATAGGTTTCTTTGTGCAGAGAATTGAAAACTTGAACTCTGTCCAGCTTTTTACGTTTATTATCATTATCTTTCTCCAGACCACAATTTATTTGAATATAAGATTTAATTTCCATTAATTTCTTGTCAGTTTCTTCAAGGATTTACCTCTAATGCATATATCCTAGTATATGGCTCGTTGCGGATCATTTAATGATTAAATAGAAGCGGTGAAGTTTTTGAAGAGGCTTATATTTTGTTTATGTAATTCTTTAAAAGATTTTAGTTCCTGCTTAAATTGCTGGTCATCATCATCAGTCAGTTTCGATCTACTGCTACTAGAGGACCTCTCCAAGACTTCTTCAGCTCATCTTTATCTTTAAATCCAGCTAGAGTTATTCTTACAGGCCGTTTAGTCTTATGTCCCTGTAATCCAGAAATGTTTTGTTTTTCTTTCAAAGTTCTTGTCGGTTCTCGTTCTTTAAGCCCATTATCAATTTAACTCCTTCCCTCGGGCAGTGATATCTACAATCTAGTACGTGTCTTGCCCGTTTCTTCCAGTGATACGCCGTTCGAATATTTTCCGCTTAATGGCGCAAAAGCGGTTTCGCGGATGGAAGCATTTTCAGTCTTCCAAAAGCGCTCAATGCTGATTTTTCTTTTGTTGATTTCATGAAATCGTCTCTATGTTGCGAAGGTAAGTTATTCTATTTAGATATAGTTTTGCTCACGTGTGTTAAAAAAATATCTTAAGTTTTGTTGCCGAATAATGCTGACGGCGTTTAGTTCTTGAAATTCTTCTGATGACCTAGAGAAGACCAGAATATCGTCCGTTAACCGGATAAATGGGCATTTATGTTCAGCCCGAGATTTTTCCAGTTCAGTGTCTTGACTCAAGTGTCTTGCCTTTGTCTCAAATCTCTCTTTAGTCTCTTCTAGGGCTGCTGCAAATAATTTCAGCGATACTGAGAACTTCTCCCTCTCAGACAACCTTTTGGATTTTTAATTTGCTTGTGCTGTCGGTGAAACCTCAGACTCGCAACTGCATTGTGAGAAGGTTCTTGATTCTCTGACTCCTCAGAAATCTAGTAGAGAATGGATGTTCAGTGGATTGAAAGTGTTCTTGCATTCTACGATCCCCAAGCAGCAGCAAGCTGATATTTATGGCTTGTCGAATTACTTGTTTTACCACCTAAACATAATCCACCGTCCTAAATCTACTTCTGAATCCTGCTTGCTCCTTTGGTTGTTCAACGTCCAGTTTTCTCACAGTTTGTTCGTCTATATCGTCGTAAAGATCTTGTAGATAACTGGCAGCACACCGATCGGCTTATAGTTCTTCAATTTCTCTGCCCCCTTTTTTGGAGTACAACCGCCTTTACGTTTCAGTTCTTTCTGACAGCTTGAAAACAACAAAACAAACGTTTCGTGGCCCCATACACAGAACGATTATCGAAGCTTCGTACTTCATCTTCCATCTCTGCTTCTCCTTTCGGGTCTCGGAGGCAGACACGTCAGACATAGCTTCCAACGTTCCCGATCCTCTGCCAGAGTCTGAGCTTCGGCAAAAGACAAATGGAGTCTGGAACGGACTCTTTCTATATATTTGCACCAGGTTAATCTTGGCTGTCTCTTGGGCCTTCTGCCGGCATTTGCGATTTGCAGTTTGCAAAGAACAGTTGCTTAGCCTTCCTTTCTGGATGAATTCGCAACACATGGCCAAACCATCGTAGCTATGACTACTTTTTAATCTGAATATGCAGGGACTGTACAGCAAGGCTCTTCCGGATATCAGTATTCCGGACCATGTCGAGACGCGTGATGCCAGCTTCGTACGTAGAATCTCGATCAGCGAACTGCGGAACATCAGCTAATAGGCACAATTGCGTCAGTCAAATCGGTTATCCTGGGACATCTGACATTTGTTTTATGAACACTGATTAAGGTTGGATCACTGAAATTGTTCTGTGAGAACAGTGAGCATATCTCCTGTGTCTAGTTTTATTCAAGAAACGCGGTTGCATAAAGACATCGTTGAAACCATTGTTAACTTCCCGAAATATCACTTTTTCAGAAACGGCAGAAATTCTGAAACTTTCTAAAGGTCAAGAGATAATTTGAGTCGTTGGAGCCATTCTCTGGCTGTCCCCGTTGTTCTGCCCTTCTAGATCACTTCTACAAAAATGTTAGTTTTTAAGTGTAGGAACGAATGTTTCACCTCTATCGTTTTCAAGCATAACTTTGTTGAACGCTTACGTAACCCATCTCATAATCCGACTGGTATCGAAGCAATTTCTCCAATACCTAATCTCAAATAACTTCATGAAAAGAAGGGAGCCATTGTCTTTGTCTGTGTGACACGGTGGCGACCTTTTTTTGTGTGCCATGTTTCACTTTCAGTGTCATATCCGCCTACTGCGTTGCTTCGTTGCTCTTCTTGCATTAAATACTCGATACTT